CAGGACCACTCCTCGCATTCGCTGCCATGTGTGTCTCCTCTTTGTCTTCCGTGTTCCTGTCACTGTGGAGGGAGAGGGACCAGCCACTTTTGCATACATTCTCGATTTGGGTTTGTCCACGGTCTCTCCACAACGCAGCGCAGATTGTGGAGTGAGGCTGCGTCCTCACCTGTCCTGCCTGGGGTACGTCGTTTCCGATGGTCCTGCTTCTGGGGATGTCGTGTGGTTCGGGGAGTGCCTGCCAGACCTCTCCACGGTGAAGTCGCTTTTCCCCTGTTAATAAGCTTCTTGTAAGGACACGCTTTGAGGAGCTGTCAGTGCCCTGGTCCTCACTCTCCTGGGTACTTCTCACCTGAGAGGACTTTCATGGTGGCTGCTGAGCAGGCTCCTCCGGCCCCGCCGAGTGCCAGGCTTTCTGAGCTCACTTCAGCTCAAAGCCATTTTGTTCTGGGCCCTGAGCTGGGCAAGGGTGGCAGGTGGGTGGGGGAGGCAGGTGGCCCGTGTGACACCTGGATGACTGCAGCAACTCCCCAGGCAGACACAGGGTGGGATGGATTCTATAAGAGGCAGGCAGCCAATCAGCCATGACACAGGTGCTGGGGCACCGGTCAGGGGAGGAAGCCAGGGTGCAGGGCAGGGCCCGGGGGTGGGCACAGAGGTGGCAGATGACCACGTTCAGCACATGAGGTCTGCACGAGACGCTGAAGGTCCAGAGGGAGAACTGTGTTTAAGAAAGAGGGTGGGAGCCCTGGCCTGGTACCAGGAAGGCCTCAGCCCACACTCACTGTCACTTAGAGGAGGGGAGCAGAGGGCACTTAGAGCAGCATCTAAGCCGGATCCCCTAGGGCTTCCCTGAGGGGGACTGGGGAAGCTCCCAACCTCCCATGCGGGAAAGAGGCCCTTAGGCGCTAGGGAAGTCGTTCATGAGGAAGGAGGTGGCCTTTGCCCAGCATTTATTTCCTCCCCCAAGGGCATGTGTAAAAGAGCCGGCCGGGGCCAGGGCCTTGCTCCATCGCTCAGCCTCCCCACGCCTCGGCCCCCCGTCACGCATGGTCGCAGGCAGCAGGTGTGGTGCTGGGGCAGCCGGGCCCAGGGCCTGAGGTGAGGGCGGGCCCGGTCCCCCGTGTCCACGGTGCCGTCTATCTCCACAGAAGCAGGAGGTGTGCGGGAGCCTGACGCTGCAGCACCACATGCTGGAGCCGGTGCAGAGGGTGCCCCGCTATGAGCTGCTGCTCAGGGACTATCTGAAGCGGCTCCCGGCAGACGCGGCCGACCGGAGGGACGCAGAGAGTGAGCAGAGCCACTCGGGGCTGGCGGGTTCCTGGGAAGGGGAAGCGGACACCTGCCGAAAACCCACGTGGAGAGGGAGACAGAGGGACAGAGACAGAGGCCTGGAGATAGAGACATAGAGTGACGAGACAGAGAGACAGGAAGAGAGAGGCAGCGACAGAGAGACACAGAGAGACCGAGATGGGACAGAGACACACAGACAGAGGGGGAGAGAGCTCCAAGTGTCCCCTAAACATATCTTGGGAAGCGACCGATGGTCTTTGAGACAGAGGAAGATGCCCCTGCTCCCACTGGGGTAGACACTGGGTGGCAGGGGTCACTCCTGGCCCAAGAACAATGGCCAGCCTGCAACACAGGGCAGGGGCTGGCTACCCATGGAATGAGGTCCTAGTCCCCCAGGCCCCAGCAAACAAGGTATGACCCCAAATCTTCTTCTTGCAGAGTCCTTGGAGCTCATCTCCACTGCTGCCAACCATTCTAATGCCGCTATTCGGAAAATGGTAAGTGAGAGACGACTCCCGGAGGATGTCTGAGGGACCCGCAGTGCGATGCAGGGAGAGTGTGGGGTGAGCCAGGTGCCATTGGTATGCACACGCACACACCTGTCCCTAGATGAGCTCCATCAGTACACACACACACACACCTGTTGCTAGGTGAGCTCCATTACTGTGCACACGCACACACCTGTTCCAGGTGGGTTTCATTGACATGCATATGCTCCCACATGTCCCCCAGGGCAGACAGGGATTCTGCTGAGAACTAGACAGGCATGCCCCATACTAGCTCAGTGGTTGTTGGTATGTTATTTAGCACTCTGTGCCTCAGTTTCCCCATCTGTAAGACACAGTCTGTGACAGACCTGTCTCATGGGGCTGTTGTGGCGACTAAATCACTCTGTGAAGTAGAACAGGGCCGGAGAAGTGTTAGCTCTCAGGGTTCCCATTGGTTTCCCACTCACTCACTCGTTCATTCAAGCTCCGTCTCCGTCAGTTTGGTGGCTACAGCAAAATACCACAGACAGGGCAGCTTAAACAACATGCATGCATTCTTGCATTCTGGAGGCTGACAGTCCCAGATCAAGGTACGTGGCAGAGAGAGCAGCAAAGCTTTCTGGGGCCTCTTCTCAGGCTCCAGTCCCATCATGGGGACCTGCCTTCAGGAATGTGACCTCGTCTAAACTTACCTGCAAATACAGCCAAAGGTGGAGACTCATCTCCTTGTTGATCCAACACCACCGTATAATGGGATTTGTGGGTGAGGGAGACCCCGTTGGGCCTACACTGACACCCTGTGACTCAGGTGACTCTGTTCCCTGTTTGGCCTACACACTGCCCTGCTGTCCAGGCCACTACATCCCCCACCCAGCTCTGGCGTCTGTCCTAATCCTGACACCCATTTACTTTCACACATGCACTGTTGCTGTTGTTTTGTTTGTTTTTTCAATTACAGTTTACATTCATGATTATTCTGTAGGGCACTGTTGTTTTTTGAAAGGAAAAAAAGGAAGTGAAATATATATTTTTGAAATCCCACATTTCTGAAAAGCAAGAATGGAGGGATGGGCAGATTGTTTTGGGCCTGCTCTTGTTACATGTGGTCTACTTCCAGTGTCCTGGTCGCCCATCTGTCACCCAGGGTCAGGTCCACTGTAGGGCACCCATGACAACAATAAACAGGCCATATTTTACTCTGGGTCTTTTTTTAAACATGTCTTTATTGATTCCAAAGAGAGAAAGGGAGCAGGAGAGAAAGACAAAAACATCAATGATGAGAATCAGTGATGGGCTGCCTCCTGCAGGCCCCCGACTGGGGACCGAGCCGAAGCCGGGCCTGTGCCGTGACCGGGAATCGAACCTGGTTCATAAGTCAGTGCTCAACAACTGAGCCACATCGGCTGGGCTACTCCCGGTCTTTTAAAATCTAATTCCCCCCCTTTCTCACCCAAGACTAAATCCAATGAAGGAGGGATAGCCACTTTGCAGAATTGCATGGTCATGAGCTCACACGGAGCCTGTGGACATCCGAAGGAGCTTCCATGGGCCTACATTTCTGAGGGGCATGGACAAGGCCGGAGGCCTCCCATTTGAGTGGACTCCTGTCCCAGCTCTAGCATGCCTGCTGCATGGCCTTTATCTCCCCAAGTCCAGTGAGGCCTCTGCCCACTACGTGTGACAGGTGGGAGGCTCTGGTGGAAGGCCCCAGTGAGAACTCAGGGGTTGGCCCTAGGGAATTACCAGTGTGTGCTCTGGAGCCTCTTCATGCTTTCACCCATCCCCACCTACCCTCAATCTTAGCCTCAACAGACCTCTCCAAGCTCCCCAAAGCCACCAGTCCCCCTTTTCCTCCTCAGAGATTTCTAAGGGACATCTATGTTGTCATTCTTTGTTCAGAACCCTCCTGGCCTGGAACTGCCTCCCAAGTACAAACCAGCTCTCTTACGCACCAGGTGCACACCCAGCCCCCCAGTATACACCTGGTGCACACCCAGGGCCCCAGTACACACCAGGTGCACATCCAACCCACCCAATACACACCAGGTACACACCCAGCCTACCCAGTACACACCAGGTACACATCCAACCCACCCAGTACACACCAGGTACATACCCAAACCACCCAATACACACCAGGTGACACCCAGCACCCCCAGTAAACATCAGATACACACTCAGCTCACCCAGTAAACACCAGTTGCACAAAGAATGCCCTCTTCAGTACATACCAGCTGAACTCCCAGCCCCCAAGTATATACCAGGTGCACACCCACCCTACCTAGTACATACCAGTACATGCCCAGGCCCCCAATAAACACCAGGTGCACACCCAGCCCCTCAAGTAAACACCAGGTGCACACCCAGCCCCTCAAGTAAACACCAGGTGCACACCCAGCCCCTCAAGTAAACACCAGGCGCATGCTCAGCCCCCTAATACATACAAGGCCCTTCAGCCCTGCCATCCTGGTCCTCCTTGCTCTCGATGCCAGTTCCCCTCCTGCACCCCACATCCACATGTACTTTCTGTTTCTTACCAAAAACACAAGGGCCCCAGCCAAACCAGCCTGCTTCAGAAGTCTTCAGGCTGAGCTTGGACAGGTGCCAGGGCAGTGGCTGCTGCAACATGGTAGGTCCATGCTCTATGCCAGTGGGTCAGGGTTCCTGCAGGCACAGCTGGCCCCCACTGCGTTCACTCCTTCGCTCCTGGCTCAGGCCCCCAGTGGCAGCAGTGACAGGTCAAGGCCCATGGTCTCTTGACTCAGAGCTGGGGCCACAGTTGCTAACTCTCTCCCATTACACCTCTGGGGCGCTGGTTGGTCATGTTACCACCCAACCAGTCATGAGGCCAGAGGGAGAGAAGCTGCAGATTGACAGTGGTCTGGTCTCACCAAGGGCCTGATGGAGCAGGAAACAAGGCGAGGCTGCCAGAGCAGGGGAGCCATTCAGGGTGAAAGCTGCAGCTTCCCCACATTTCTCCCTGAAAGCTCCCATACAAGCAGCTGGCATGCAGGACAGAGGCTAAGAGGCCAGTCCCAGTTCTCCAGCTAGTCATTTGACTTCTCCGCGCCTGTTTCCTTGTCTGTAAACTGGAAATAATACTTGCACCTACTTGAGGGTGGAGCACTGCCTGGCACATAGCAACAACGTTAGCTGTTGTTGTTTATTGGTCTGTGTACCATGAACATTCATCTTCAATGCTCAACGCCCCTGCTTTCCCTCCTACCCTGCGGGTAGGCTCCTGGCCCATCTTGGCTGTGGGCCATGCTCGCAAGGGGGCCCCGCTCACCTCGGGCTGCCCAGCTGCCTGAGCCCTGTGTCTCCTGCAGGAGAAGATGCACAGGCTGTTGGAGGTGCACGAGCAGCTGGGCGGGGAGGAGGACATCGTCAACCCCGCCAACGAGCTCATCAAGGAGGGCCCCATCCAGAAGCTGTCGGCCAAGAGTGGGGNCAGCCTTGCTCAACTCCGCTCCTGCCCAGCCCCAGAGCCACTCCACACCTCCCTGGGATGCCTTTTCTATGGGGTCACCTTGGGCCTGCCTGCCCCTTACCCTGCCACCCTCTCAAAGTTCAACAGCATGATCCTTTACTGTGTGCCCAAACTGCGGCTCATGGGCCAGAAGTTCAGTGTCCGGGAGAAGATGGACATCTCAGACCTCCAGGTGGGTGAGCCCCTCCCTTTCTCCAACTCGACTGGGAGGGCACAGAGCAGGCCTGGGGACACAGGCTCTGGGCCCACACTCACTGGATGAAGGATTGCACCATGACCTTGACTGACCCCTGTCCCCTTTGAGGTCAGCACTCAGGGCCCCATGTACAGACCTAAAGGTGAAGCTGCGGTGAATGCCCGATCCCTGTCCATGCCCTCTCTGCTCCTACGCCACCTCTGAGCCTAAATGAGGTCCCACAGGAGTCTGTGCCTGAGGTCCAGACAGCCTGCTGTCCTTGCTGTCACAGTTCCCTGAGCCTGTCAGTGTCTCCTGGTGTGGGGACTGTAGGAGCTGGAATCAGTCCCTTCTCCTGTGAGGAAAGGCTGTGAATTAATGGGTGTTCAAAAATGATGGTGGAGGCAAAGCATTTAATCAGTTCTGAAAAGTTAAGTCTGCCTTAGTGCCACAAAAATATTCCTTCTTACTTTGAAATTCTCTGAATCCAGGTTTGAGGAATACCATTAAAGTACCTACTAACTAGAGAAAAAATACTTTGCCCCATAGTTAGAAAAAACTATTTTTCTAGAGTTCCTCTGAAAAAAAAAAAAAAAAAA